GTGTCACAGCGCAGACAAACCTCTACCTTCTGAGCCTGCTGCACAGCCTCCCTCTGCTGCCAGCGTTTGTAGAGGCCAAAGAGGGGCGTGGCGCCGTCCACCCACTGGATCAGCCCTGAGCGAGTTCCGAGCGGCGTGACAGAATAGTGTCGGGCGTGGAAGTGCGGTTGCTCCTGCTGATTGATCTTGGTGAACATGGTGTTGACAATCGACAAGAACTGCATGATGCGCTCGTCCAAGTGCAAATCCTCCAGACCTGAGAGAAACGTTAGTCACTGTTTCATCACAAAGGAAACTTTCTACGCACAGCTCACAGCTCAGAGGCATCGTTAGCGCTTCACATCAAAGCTCTTTAATGACGACTCTGTCCTGATAAAATGACGCTGTACAAATGATTCAGTAAGAACACCCACAGACAACGTTTGTGCTACTCTCAGCGTACCCCAGCTTCTGTCAGGTCTGCGTTTCTTTTTCACGTTCTGTGTTTCACGTGTAAGCGCTGACTCGATTAACTCAATCGTGGATACAAATCTGACCCCGAGTTTACGTACAGATGATGTACGCTGAATGTGACGCAGGAAACAAGCAACTAGAGAGCCGAACATCGGGTCAGCTGGTCGAATGATGAAACGAACAAAATATATATGAAAATAAAAAGAGCTGGATTTCTTTATAATAACAATCACTGTAATGCCAAGTGTCAAAGGTGCTCTTGGGAGGACCCTGTCTTAAAGTGCTTGGACAGATTTTATTTTTATAATTCATTTATGACCCCATTTGTTAAAAATAAAATCAGGCATCTGTCACGCAGGCGTGGGGACCAGCTGGCAGATATATAAATCAAAGGCTGCATTACCCAACCTTTGGTTAGCACTTGTTGCTGCTGGTTGTCACTAGTTAAAATTAGCTACACCAAAAACCTTAATTAGCAAACCTTATTAGCTAACTATCGACTGTTAGCACAACTTGACAAAGTACAATAAAACCTGGAAACAGAACCTTCAAAGTAAAAGCTGCGCCTCACTGCTACCATCGTCACTATTTCGCTACAATGTTGCAGATAAAAGTCTTCCATGCAAATTGTGGGTGACCATGGCAACTGCCACGTTTTGTGGAGTACCACCACCTTCATGACCAGCTTCACCTTACAACTGGCCCCGCCTCCAGCAGCCAGCTGGTCCTGTTTAGTAACACAGCTCGTATTCAAACAGCGTCAAACACAGAAGATGTTCTCAGAGCTGATAGCGAAGAAACGACAGACTCAACGGGTCGATGTGCCTCCCTCACACTTCATGTTCTCATGACTTTACTAACATTGCTTTAATGTTAATAACTGTCAACATTACCAACTGAATGCTAACGCAGTTTTTCCCTGTAGCTTTAGACTGTTTCCATCTACGACTGCTGCGACCGAGCGTCCCCACCTTTAAAGAGGTACGGGTAGTTGTGTCCGTCTGAGCCCAGGAAGAACAGTTTCTTTGGCTTGGTCTTGGTTGGCAGTATAGTGATGGTGTTCCCTACGCTCTGTATGGTCACTGCGTCTAATGCCGATGCCTCGCCAGGTAGAGCGATCTCTGTTGTAGTCATGGAAACCAGGCGGGGACTAATCTCATCCAGATGCAGCAGATAGCTGGTTCTCTTCTGAGCACGCTGTTGCAGGCTCATCATGATCTGTCAACACAGACAGCACATCAGTCAGGTTTGGGACAGCTACACAATATAAAACTATGTAAATATCAATGATCCTACATCTGTAGAAGTGATGCAACATAACAGATGACATACACATCTGCACAGGTGCTGGGGAAACAATTCCTGTGTATATTTAACACACACTGCACACAAATACACAGTTTGCTGAGGACAAAATGACACTCTGTGGATCATCAACCGTTTGAGAGAGTTAAAATCACACGTAGAGTTGAGAGTGAAAACTGAATGTGCAGACTGAGTGGGCTCTCCTTCCAGACGTGAACCAGGACATCAGCGAGCTCGGGGACAGTGGTGCTGTTTGGCAGAGTCAGACGCACTGATGTCCCACAGGTTCTCAGTTGGACTCAGACCTGGGGAACATCAACGCCTTCATCTTCCAGGAGCGTCACAGACACAACGGCCATGTGAGCTGCACACAGTCCTGGACCAGGAGGAGACCAGGGCCCTCTGCACCAGCACCAGGTTGACAAAGGCAATGAGGTGATGATTTTACTAAGTTAAACCACACTCTATCACGTCTGTCACAGGTGCTCCCATCCATGAAG